GCTTGTAGAGGTGTGTAAGTTTGGTGGGGTGCGGCGCTCGCCCGTGTGCGGCGCTCGCCCGTGGAACACGTTATAGCTCTCCTCTTAGTTATGTATCTTCCAGCAGCAGGTCGACCACGAAAATCATAGTCGCCGAGGCCGCTTTCGTAAACACATGTTATGCTCGTTGTTTCTATCCGTTACTGCATTCTTTCCACTTTGCGTCACTCGGGTCTTTCTATTTTGCGTCACTGCACTCTTTCCACTTTGCCTCACTCGGGTCTTTCTTTCTTCCGTCACTCGAGCCTTCCGGATAGCACGGTTGTGAGGATTTCGAGTGTTATAAAATTTAGCATCTGATGGCACCCTAACGGCGGCCTCCGCCCTCTGCTTCATCTTAATAGACTTCCTGTTCATATTGAGGTCAATTAATAGCTTTATTTGCCGAACCAGTATGGGAGATGTTAGGAGTGTTGACTTTCGTATACCAAAAAACCACATATCAGCTCTCCAAAACAACAATGTTTATATAGATTTCATACTACTTATGCTGATAGATATCTTCAAGTCTACAGACTTGCGACTCCATAAGCAGCACGAAATCACATGTCAGCTCTGGAAGGAAGGTGTATGTCTGAGGCCGAGCGATTGGCCCACACAGGAGAAGCAGAATAAGCTTGCTTACTGTCAGCCACTTGCATGTTGAATCGCCAGTTTCGTCTACTGAATTCATGGTACATGAGTATTTCTCTACAGCGGCCGTAGATATTTCTTGCAAAAACGACACGTCGCATTTTTAGTCATACCTAACACATTAGTACAAGCGATATACTCTTATGCAGTTGCAGCTTCCGGTTTCTGTAATCAGGCCACCTCTTATCCCACGCTACGTAAGCCTTTGTCGCTAAGTAGTGACTTTGCCTAAATACTATTAATTGCTGTTAGCGATGTGTCTTCTTGCAAACTCTCGGGCCAATTAACTCATCTTATTTACATGGTTTAACTCTCTTTGTGCAAGCTTGTACCGAGCTTGTCCTTGGGATGACAATTGGAATATGTAGGCAAAGCGGAAGCGGCAAGTGCATGAGAGCGTACGACATGTGGTTGGCTAGAGTACATTGTGATGTAGTATCACGTGACTAGCTTGTAGTATATATTGCGATCTTCTTTCGTACGTGGATAACTAGACACCTTCTCCAATCAATGCTTCACAGCGATCAACTATCAGCTTTTCTATCTACTCGATTGCGGGTCTCCCCTTGATCTTTTGAGCTCCATCACGTATCGTACCACAACATATGTGACAATGCCATCATGCTTGAAAAAATGGCCCCAATTACCGCTCACTAATTGAAATGAGGCCGCACGGTATTGAATAATGGGGACAAGGCCGAAGCCCTGAGGAGCGAACTGCTGGACCGCTACAATTCCAGCGACGACCTCCCCCAACCACCAGGCCCTGGTGACTTCCACCACACCCCCATCCCGTGGGAGACAGGGGTCTCAATCGAAGAAGCCGAACGGTACACCATCGGGGTTACTAGCACATCCCCAGGGACTGACCGTATCACCGTGCGGCTTCTAAAAGCCTGCTGGCCCGCGATAGGACGACACATCGCGGCCATCTACCAAAAATGCCTGGAACTCGCTTGCTTTCCAGAATGCTGGCGAACCGCGGAGGTTGCCATGATCCCCAAAGCGGGAAAGAAGGACCACACCTCAGTCCGTTCTATGAGACCAATCGCACTACTCTCCTGCCTAGGCAAAGGCATCGCTACCGCCGCCATGGCACACAACCTGCTCAGCCCCCAGCACGGCGGGGCGCTGCCAAAACGATCCACAATGGACCTAGTAGCCTCGTTCACGCACGACGTCGAGCTAGCCATGAGTAAGGGACAAAGTGTAACTATGGTCACGCTCGACGTTCAAGGGGCCTTTGACGCGCTTCTGAAAAACCGTCTCCTACACCGCATGGCCAAACAGGGATGGCATCCCCTATGCGTGCGCATTATTGAAACCTTTCTGTCAAATAGGAGGGTGCAAGTACGCTTAGGCGAGGATATCACCCCCACCTACCCAATATTGTACACACTGTACCTGGCAGAGCTCCTGAATCAAGACAAAAACCTACGCTTCGGCTACGCAGACGACGTGTGCATATACAGAGTCGCCCACACCCTGGATGAGAGTGCCCGTCAGGTCGCTGACGACATCCGGGAAATACACAGATGGGGCTCCGACAACAAAGTTGCCTTCGCACCTGAGAAACTCGAGGCTATTCACCTCACTAGGCAGCAACATGGGGAATCACCCCCTATCCGCGTCACGGACGAGCTGACCATCGAACCTATACAACCAGCGACGGACGGGGGGCAAAATGCGCTACGCTGGCTAGGCGTCTGGTTTGATAGGAAACTCACCTTTAGGAGACACGTCGCCCAGAGAGTGGCCGCCACACGCAAACTGGCAACACACCTCCGAGGACTGGCCAAGATCAAATACGGACCCCCGCCTGACGCCCTGCGAAAGGCGGTCATCACCTGCGTCCTCCCATCCCTCCTTTATGGGGCAGAAGCATGGTACGAGGGACGAAAGAAGAACCCCCGGATTGCACGAAGCAGCCGCAGCCAACTCGTGAGCACCCGCGTCGGACACCACATTGAGCTGAT